TGGAGGCCAAACTCCTTTTGTCGATTTATTTGGTGATAAGTCTATCAAGAAAATTTATTTAATATTAACTTTATTTTGATTTCTATTGTCCAAAATACCTCTAACAACTATATTTAATTAAAATAAATATAAAAACTAACAACTCCTAAATTTTAAAAGTTTGACTAATATTAAAATTGTCATTATCTTATATCTATCCATATTCATATATAAAATATAATTATTTATTTCTCTCTCTCATATATATAGACTAGACAAGTGCCCGTGTGTAAAGGCGCTACATAACAAAAAAAAAATTAAGAATTTAAACAAAATCGAGGTGAGTGATAGAAATTAAAGTAGGCAACTATTTATTTTCAAATTATCTACTAAATCAAGTTTAAAGAAAAAAATTTGCTTACCAAAGTAATTCACATATTAAATCAATAAACAAAAATCCCACAAAATTGAATTTGTTTAAAAAATCAATTTAATTTAATGTAATCATCTTCAAGGCATTAGTACAATGTGCTTCCTCTGTGTTTTTCTTAGATAGCACTCATTCAAACGAACAATAAGTACCCAAAGCCTAGACATTTAATTAGTTTATTAAACAAACAAAAACAACACTGTGAGAAAGAAAAAGAAAAAGAAAAAGAGAAAGATGTTTATTAAAGAAGCAAAGAAAATTTCAAAACTCTCTACATCCCAAAAATTGTCTAAACCCAATCAAAATTCAAGCTTGAAATTGCCTAAGCCATATGAGAACTCTACGTAGCACTCAAAAAATTTACTCCAAATTCATAATTAAATAGATATAAAATAAGCAAGATCATAAAGTTGACCATGAAGATGAAAAATAGTTTTTTTAGTTGACCATTAATCATAATTTTAAGTTTTAAAAGCACCATAAGCACGTTTTACTACATATATTATACAGGAAAAGTGTTCTTTATAGCTCACATTTTTTTTTCCAGTTGGCAAACGAAGAAGTTGAAGGTTAAGCAAATGACGAGAACTTAACTGGCCGCTTCTTCTCGCTATAATGACTTCCTTCGAATTAATGATTTTAAACTTAAATTATAGCCAAAAATACATTAAACAACAAATCTTGTCATTGCAGAGAAATATTAGGAAACTTAAAGGTGAATAGGACATGAACTTTTCCATTGTTTTGGTTCCAAGAAGTGCAGCAATCATAGTTTGCATTGAAACATAAAGACAGGCCATGTAGATAGGATACCTGATCAATCATTTATAAGTGCTAAAAGTCTGCTATCTTACGAGCGCCTCTTCCATAGTTTGCATGCTAACCTTCTTTGTTGAAATAAAAAATTCAACTAAATCTAAAGTACAATGATAGAAGCACAAATTAGCAGTTCCAAATTTCCCATTAGCTGTTTAAACTTATACTTGAAAAAATAAATGAATAACACGATCCCATTAATATTAATAGACCGGCAAGAACAAAGACCCATAAAAGAATTCAACATAAACAGAAGCAATGACATACTCACGCACATTCCACAACCTACAAAAATAAGAGCTGGTTGATAAGGGATTTGGTGAGGTGGGTAGAACAATTAATAGTTTATCTTGATAATATAATAGTGATATAGACCAAACAAACCTTCTTTCACAACCAATTAACAAATAGTTTCAAATATAACACTGATGCAGATCAAAATATTAGTAAAATCTTAAACTCGCAAAAATGCAGTACAAATTCCACAATAAAACAAATATAATATACCAAAATCTCAATGATATAGACCAAAAACAATTTCTTTCACAGTGCAATTAACAATCTTTTTCAATTCAATTCTATAGATGTGATATAGACCAAACTAACAGTAAAATCTCAAATCTGCAATCAAACAAAATTTCAAACACATGTAAAATCTCAAATTCACAAAATCAGAGAAAAATTAATCCAAATCACAAAATGTTTTAGGTGGTTACTGTGATGAAGAAAAGGTTACCTCCCGCTAGCCTTCGCTAGCAGGTTGAGGCAGGGACTGAGAGGAGGAGGCATCATGGCTTTACTGGTCCGTCGGTGGCCAGAGTGGAGAAGACAGGGAGAAAGAAAAGTGAGAGGGTACAGTTGTTGGGCCAGGGTAAAGGCAAATTACAAACACAACTCTACATTATTATATAAACTAATTATTGCATGTATCTGAAGGCACAGAATAATAAAAAATAGTAAATAATAAACATATTTGTATTTATATCCAAAATCAAAACACAAATATAGAGAAGAGATAAAGAAATTTAAGCATCGATTTATAGTAATGGTGAGAGGTGGTGGGTGGCTGTGGTGGTGGTAAAAGACGGTGATGGTGTGTGGAGGAGGTGGTGGTGGTGGTGGCAGTGGCGGCAATGGTGGTGGTGGTGGTGACGACGATGGTGGTAGCGACAGCAACGACAGTGGTGGTGACAGTTGCGATAGTGGGGCGACAGAGGTAGTTGTGGGGCAATTTCAAACACTATTTTTTTTAAAATATTTATGAGAAATAATTTCTAAAAGTATTTTTTAAAAAGTCAATCCAAACATACCTTTTTTTATATATTTTTTTTTTCTTTTGTTTGGGGATGGGGATGAGGATGGGAAGGGGGAGAGGGAGTTAAACCCTTAATCTCAAGAAGACAAAATATTCACAAGATAAGGAGTACCATTAGACCAAAAATCTATTGGTCTCCAAACACATCCTTATGGCCTAATTTTTCTAGTAAATTTAGGGTGTTAATAATAGCCGTTAAATTAACTTTAAAATAAAATTTAAAACGATCTCAACCTTGAATAGTAAAGTCATTTTGTTAATCTTTTGATATTTGAATTGTAAACTACTTTATTATATAGATAAAAATAGTAACATTTAAACACAAAAAATAGTATCATTTAAACACAAGAAAATAGTAATATTTAAAAACAAAAAAAATAATAATATTCAAAAATAATAGCATTGAGTATTAATATTTGAAAAAATAACAGTAATAACATGCTCAACAAAAATAATAACATGAACAATAACATATCCAATAAAAATAATAACATGTTCACAAAAAATGTAATATGAACAATAACATGGTAAATATATATATATATATATTGTTCTTTGAATTTAAATTTGATGTAAAGAAATTTATTGGCATATCTTCATTGATAATGAATTAAGGAATAAAATTCTCAAGTTAGGAAACTAATTTAAAGTTATTTTCAAGGAATGTCATTTTGGACTTTTAAAAAAATAGTGGACTTAACTACTTATTAGTAAAATTAAAACCAAACTTATTTCCAAATAAATTTTTTTAACGGACTAAACTCATTATAAATCCCTTAAGGAGGACTCATCCCCAATTTACAATTTTTTTTTTTTTGGTGAATCTTGAGGGGGCTAACAACTCTTAAGTGAACAAAAGGTTGATTATGAAATCAATAATTAAAAATTCTACAGTTTGAGAAAAGTGAGACCGAAGGATTCTAAGATTTCATACCCAAATTTTTAATTTTTTTTATGTATATGAATACATAGATAAATAGATAAAGATCAGAACGCACAAGTTTTTACTTTTTCAAGTGTATCTATTTAATTCTTTACAAGTTTAGTGGAAACCAACAGTTGAAAGTGTTATAGAATACGAGGGAGTGTTATGTGTATTTTGAAAAAAAACAAGGGTATTAGAGCAAATTATTTTGGGTCTTTATTTGAAAAAAAAAAAAACCCTAATCCTGGTGTACGTCAAGAGAGGTAAGTTTGTCAAATTTTTCCATTCTTACGTGTAAATAACTCAATATTGGATCACAGTCAATAACATCTTCACCATCTAGAGTAAGAATGAGTTGAAGAAAATCGTGAATTGATGGGTGGCGAGGACCCATATTGACTATCATGAGGTTTTTTCTTATAGTTGGTGTAGTAATAGGTTTTTCCCCTTCTAGTCTTTCATGAATTGGTGAAAAGTAAAAAGAAGGTTCATCAAAATTTAAACGATCAAAAAAAAATTCTTCAAATTAAAGAGTCTTTGTCTCTCGAATATCCAATTGACCAATTATTTCTTTATACCATGCTTTATATTTTTTTGACGAATAAGCTAATAATTGTTGATGTTTTCCCAAAAATTTTCGTAGACTTCTTTGAGATAAATAGTATTTTTTGTGCAATTTCAAATATGAAGTAACTCTCCATATCTTATTAGTGAACTTGACTACTTGAAATTCAACAAATCGTTGTTTTATTTCTTTTTCTCTTGTAAAGTAACGGAAATGAATGAATTTTTTTATCATAAAAGAATCTCCTCTCCTTTTTTTTTTGCTTTATAAATATCTAATTTTACTGTTCAAAAATAATAATGTCAACAATTTGAATGTGATATACATAATAATCCTAACCTCTTTATTGACTCTTAACGTTATCAATTAAGATGAATCAATCAAATTGGATTCGAATAGAGATGCAAAAGGATGGTACGTTTTTATACCGACAAAAGTGAATAATTTATATTTAAACTGAAAACAAAGATGATTTTGTTGATTTAATTCACTGTATTTTTGTATATAATTGATACTTCATTGGCGTATATTAGAATGGGATGTAAAATAAGGTATATGTACATCTATTTACTTTCATATACCATATATATAGTACGTGATATATAGAAAAAATATAGTATTAATCAATTTTCAATCGTAGATATATACGTAATCTTTGTCATTATTCGTATTAAACCAATAACAATTCAGACAATCTAAAAAAAGAACTTTAATTGAATTTATTTATTTTTAACACTATCAAGATGTTTACTCTCGTCAAAAAATAAACTCTGATTTTTTACGTTGTTCTTGTTACAAAATACCGGATTTCTATTCATACCGTTTCTTATTCCCTAACTAGCCTAGTGGAAAACAACAGTTTATAAGTGTTATAAAATTCGGTGGAATGTTAAAGCGTATTTTGAAAAAAATAAGGGCACCGGAGCAAATTATTTTGGGTCCTTATTTAAAAAAAAAAAAAAAAACCCTAAGCCTGGCGTCTGTCGATTCGCGACTCCTTCAGAGGAACTGTTTCTCTCTCTCTCTCTCTCTGACTCCGACGGACGGCACACTTTCAGGCATACCTCCCGCGACTCCGACAACATCTCTCCTCCCTCCTGTTTACTGTGAAGTTCAGTTTTGACGACTCTCTCTCCTTCTGTTCAAGTATCCTTCACAGTTGATTAGGGCACAGATTCTCTCTCCTCTCTACCGGTGATTAGGACTCTTCTTTTGCAATTAGGGTTTGTAAAAAAAACCTGGGCTTGTATTAGGGTTTACAATTAGGGATTTTATGCACTTTGCACTTTGCAATTTGGTTTTCTTTTTGTTTTGTGTGTGTTTTTATCTAGGAACTAATGAAAATTGAATATTGTAGAGAAGCTAAGAAAGATTTTCGGGTGTAGCTTGGTTGGACCTTTTGCCATTTCTTTGAGAATCTCCACCTCGACGCTGTCGTGCAATCTGATTATCTGAGGTACTCTTTCATTTGACTTTGATGTTGGATTATTTTTGGTATGGTGCTTGGTGTTTTATTTTTGAGTTTAGTTTGGTAAGGGTGTTGGTTGTTGAATCTTTTTTCCATATGGTGTTGCTTGTTGAATTTTCATTTGTAGCTTGGGGTTGGTGATGTTGGTGTTGGTTAGTTATAATTATATGTCTTCAATAGATGTGTGGTTCACTTGTTACTTTATAAATCATAATTATTACATTAAATGTAATAATACAAATTTTAAAAACATAATATTACAAACGAATCCTATCTGTATATCCATATCTGTGCTTCATAGATAATAGTTAATAAAAAAAAGGTTGCAAGGAGCCTTTAATTAAAAAGGGTAGTAAACCAAATTTCCTTGATGATAGGAAGCTTGCTTTAACAAAGTAGGAGAATGCATTAGGAGGAAACATTAACCAAACATATAAAGACAAACATTATTGACTGAATCCCTGGAAGTTGCTTTAGAAAGCTTATCCTGGGAGAAAACATGCGTAAGTTTGTAACAGGTTTGTTTAGTTGTCAACTCTTAACATTTACTGAACTGCATATAGAGTTGTTAAGAATTATTACAATATGAAATTTGACTTACCCAATTGAATCTAGTCTTAAGATTTGACAACTTTGGTGTCATAGAGAGAGAGAGAGAGAGAGCTGCATTGGTCAATGGAGATAATTGAAGTTTGTCTAGCAAAATTGTATGGTTGTGCAAATCGTCACTCAAGTAAATGGTTCTAGGCTCAGATTATGGTATCCTGATGCGCTTTTGTTTTGATTATCTAAATTCATTAACAACTTTTCATTTTTTGGATATTGGCATGTTGAACGACATGTGGTCTATGTATACTATGCAATAGATTATATACCGGAAGCCAAAAGGCCTGAATGTTTTAATTTCCAATTTGCATTATTCCTCCGGCAGTTTACACATCTTCATTCATTGGCTACAATTTTATTTCATGATGAAAAACTATTTGAGCATTAAAATCTAAATTCATTAACAGCTTTTCATTTTTTGGACATTGGCATGTTGAACGACTTGTGGTCTATGTATACTATCCAATAGATTATATACCCAAAAGGCCTGAATGCTTTAATTTCCAATTTGCATTATTCCTTCGGTAATTTTCACATCTTCATTCATTGACTACAATTTTATTTCATGATGAAAAACTATTTGAGCATTAAATTAGGTGTTGTCGTTCATGGTAAATTTTTTTTATTGATAATTCTTTGTAAAACAGAAATGGTAATTCCTCCACCTGTCAGACCTGAAAGAGTTATAAAGTTTCTTAAACCGTATGTCTTGAAGATTCACGTTACAAACAAGTATGTAAATGCCCAAGTTTTCCACACACCAACAGCGACAGTGGCCTCTGCAGCAAGCACACAAGAAAAGGCCCTGAGGGTAAGCATGGGTAAAAACTACGAGAGTACCCATGATGTTGGTGCTGCCTCAAAGATAGGAAAGATACTGGGGGAGCGCCTGCTGATTAATAATATCCCCGCTGTTTCTGTATGCTTCAAGAGAGAACAGAGATATCATGGCAAGGTGAAGGCGGTAATTGATTCTTTAAGGGAAGCAGGTGTCAAACTGGTTTGAATGAAGACTCCACTCTTGGTTTTGTTAACTTGACAGGTATTTTGGGGTGCAACAACAGAAGCTTAGCTATGTGTTGGTGTGAGTTTGTTTTACCAGGAGGGGATTTGTGTTGGTGTTCCATCATACACTCATTGAACTTGGATATAGCTTGTGATATTCTTACCGACTTCAAACTGATTAGTGATATTCTTCTTAATGATTTGATATTTCTTCTTCGTATCTGCTTGGTTGGTATATTGTTTGTATGAAATGAAAACATTAACCTTTAACTTCAAGTCTATCAGCACTCAAATTCAGGTAAATAGCAATTTGCACCCCGAAAGATTAAAAAAATTTTAATTTACACCCCCAAAGGTCAATTATTTTAAATTGCACCCTCAATTAAATTAATTAGTAGGAATGTGACCACAACCATAATTTCTGTTGCAATTTTTATTAAATTGTTAGTCACATTAGATGCACGTAATGACTTTTTGTCGGATTACGGCGTTTCCCCTTTTTATGTCTTTCATGCATGTCAATTCAATAAAAATCATCATAGATGTTACGACTGAAATTGTAATTTTCGTCCAATTGACAGTCACATGAAATAAACATAATGACTTCTGTTAGATATTGGTCTTTTCCCTTTTCACGTACATCTCACGTGGTTGTGTCAATTTGATAAAAATCATAATGAACGTTATGATTAGATCACATTATCATCAATTAATTTAATTGAGGGTGTAATTTAAAATAATTGATCTTTGAGAGTGAAAATTAAATTTTTTTTAATCTTTTGAGTACAAACTGCCATTTTTCCCACAAATTATGACCAAAACTAACTATTCATCTAATCAAACATGTAATTTTTTTTTTAATTAAGAATGATTCGGATCAATTTATTTATATTTTAATTAATTTTCTTTCAGACTTGGCCAAGGTAGTTTATCATCGTTGGATGGAGATAAATTCATGCTATTTTTTCATAATTATTAAAATCAAGAGCAGCTGAAAAGTTATCAGTTTTCACATGAATTAAAATTTCAGATGTAGACAATTTGGTGCCAAGGGACACCCACAGCCACATCAATTCGCAGGACCTTTTCGTGCCAATTGAAAGTAAAAGGCGTTTCAAATTTTAAAAAATATAGAAAAATAACTTTTATTCAGTAATTCACATTTTGGTAGAAGAAAGGAGAACCAACCAAGACAAAAACCTGGAACAGTAAATCCTTCCAGATTCACCCATAACTTTTACCGAAGGAAAAAATCGTCCGTACCCATTTCGCGCCAAGGATGAGAAGTCCTCCTCACCCACTTTGCTTCATCTATTCCATTTTCTTTGTTGCGTAAATTGCTTCCCATAAATCGGTTCTTGGAAGTCTGTTCAAATTCTTCCTGGTAACTCTCTCTCTCTCTTATAGGACACGTAGCATCTGATGTTTTTATAAAATGCACTAGGATTGGTATGATGTAGTTTTATTCCCTAAATCATGAGTTTGGGATTTTGGGGAACACTAGTCCAGATCAAAAAAGGGTTTTGCTTTAGATTTTGAATCATTCAGCTTTGCGCAGTGTTTCTTCTTGTTGGTACAAATCTTCTAACATCTCGAACTGGGTCTTAACAGGATTCTGGATCCCACCCACTAATTTGCGTATGTAACCAAAGAGATTAATGACTTCATTAGAGATATAGACTTACAATGCCATGTAAGCCTTAAAAAGAAGGGTGTTTTTTTAGGGGTGGGATTTACTTGGTCCTATGTCTTCCCATTAATATTGTTTGGCATATGGTGTTTACATTATTTTCAACAGGCCTTTTATGTGTTGTAATCTCCTTGAATAATCTTTTAGGATCCCACATCAATTAAAAATAAGATTAAAAGTGTATATATGAACTCTTGGACATCATTTTCTTGTAAGTCAGTTGTCAGGGACAAATTTTACCTATGGGTTCATAACAATTGGGATTAGAATTAGCCACCATGTCTTGAGTATAGGATCGAACACAGGATGAGTTGCGGCTATGGTCGAATCACGAAAAGGGTGACTTATAGGTTGGATTAAGATGACTTGGTATTATGTATCGATATAATGTTATCTCATTGAATACTGATATGCAAGCGCGGCAGAGAAAGGACTACATTTAGGTCAGTGCTGATAGAGTAGTCCGTCGTAGACGTAGGCTATAGAAACATGGTGGAATGTTACGATCCCACATTAGTTAAAAAGAAGATTAAATGTGTGTATGTGAATTCTTGGACACCCTTCTCTTGTAAGCGGGTTTTGAGGGATAAAGGCATCAAAACTACAAAATTGTTGTTAAGGTTTTCTTTCTTTATTTATGCCTCTAGATATAGTTTCCATGAATTTCTAAAATAGTTGTGGAAAGAAGAAATCAAAAACTGATGTTTATAGCATAAAGGCATCAAAGAAGCATGACTTACTGTTTTGATTTCATAAGATATCTAATAAGCCTCTTGTATAGTTGCTGTAGTTAGATGTTTATCCTATAAGACCAAAAAGAAAGAGAATGGTGGAGGGTTCCACCAAGTTTTTAAAAGCACTAAATGTGATGTCATAAAATCTTCAGTTTTGTAGCTCATTAATTGTATTGATGCCAAGAGATAGTTAAGTTCTGTGATATATGATGCCTAACTCCAGGTTAGATCATAAACCATGGGAAAAAGAAGAAATTCGACAGCTTTTGAAAACCAGAAAGGCAACAAAGAAGCAGATGAGAAAGTTCAGAGCTCATGCCATTCCATTCTGGATCTTCCTATGCCCATCATTTTAGATATTCTTATAAAGCTGCCTATAAAGGGAATTGTCATGTGCAAGTGTGTATGTAAATATTGGCACAACATTATTTTGGATCCTCAGTTTGCTAATCTGCACTTTGCACAAGCGCAGGCCTGCCCTCTGGTTCGGACCTTGTGGACTACCTTTGTGTCAAGAATGCTTTACTTGGTTGACCTGCCTGAAAGTGATGTTGATCACTGCTTGTGTGGTGATCTTAACAAGAACTGTAAATGTGGTCATCGCATTAATATGAAAAGCTTGACACCAAATTAAAGATCCCTATGCGCAACACTGAAATGGTGCTTAACAGGGAAAATCTTTGCTCTAACAGTGGTATTAGGAGGAAGCATTGCATCAAGGTGAAACCCACAGATCATAAATTCAAAATTGCAAATTCATGCAATGGATTCCTTTGTCTGTCAGAACCCATGAATAATGATCCTGTTGTCTTGTGTAATCCAATTACAGGGGAGTATGTAAATCTTCCAATGGCTAAGAAAGTTGATGAGAATAATACAGGTCTCATAGATTGTGCGCCCTGCTTCAGTCCAAAGACCAATCAATACAAGGTGATTCGAATGTTTGATCAAGGGACTCGTCAAGTTGTTGCTTGTCCCATTACAGGAACAGAAAGATATCTTAGTAGGGTGGCTGAGGTACACACACTCGGCATAGAATCTTGGAAAAGCATAGGCTATGGTCCCTCTTCAATTTAAAAGCTAACATTCCCCACCTATCTGAATGGAGTTCTTCATTGGCTTTGTGTTGATGACAGGAGATCTGATTTTATAGTTTCCTTTGACATTGACAGTGAGCGTTTCCAATCAGTTCCATCACCTCCTCTTGGATGTAACAAACTTGGCTTGAGTGATATGCCTTTTGTGAGCCTGGGAGTAGCAAGAGAACTTTTGTGCTTCTCTGATGGTTCTGGTGCTGATTTCATTGTTATATGGGCGATGAGGAAGTATGGAGTGAAAAGTTCATGGACTCGAATGATTTCCATTGACAGTAAAACTGCAGAGAGTTGGTATTGTTTGCTGTACCAGCCCATGAGTCAGCTGAAGAATGGGCCATTGCTGATGTATCTAAACACTCAAAGGGCCTTGATATACTATGACAGTAAAAGAGAAGAGTGGAAATATCTTAAGTTTTGTGGGATTGATACACAATTTGAAGCTGTGCCTCATATACCAAGTTTCATCTCGCTTAAGGATGCCGTTATAGGATACAGTGATGTGGTGCTGAATATAAATTCAAGGTGATAATGTGCCAGTTTGCAATTTTGTAGTTGATTTAATAGCTTTGTTGATTTATATATTAGTACGTTATGATCTCTCCTCCACTTCTTTATTCCTTTTTCTTTCCGTGTGTGTGTGCATGTTTCAGTAATCACATTGAAAACTAGTGGTAAACGTGTACCCACCATCTGCATAGCAACTTCAGAGAAATTTCTGCAAAAAAGCATCTTTCTTTAAATATTCTTTCTGTATGGGGCAATTTGTGCGTGTGCGTGTAATTGCCGCATAGAGCATGCCTTCAAGTTAAAAGACAAGTTTCTTGATGAATCTTTCCACCTGTTCAAACTTTTGTGAACATAAGATACCTAAAAGTATATACTCTGCCTCAACCTTGTTGGACTATATCAGTCATGCAGGGAACAAAGTTGGTCTTTTATGCATATGTTCTCGGGTTAGGAGTCAATTCTTTGAATAATAAGAACACTACGACTAAGGTCTCTTTAGTCTTATTTGTCTGCTAATACACTTGTACTTGCTAGAGTCATGCTAGGCTCTCAAGGTTCATCAACTCTTTTTCTTGTGCTGGGTGAGGAAGGGTATGACTATCTAAGATAGCTACTAAGGCAAATTACTCACCAAAAACTATGGATTTGAACTTTGAACCTGCCTTCAGAGCCCTAGTGCTGACATTCTCACCCCTGTAAAGAAGCAGTTTGAACTTTCAGATGCTCTATATAGGTTCCTCGTTTGGTGTTCAGAGATTGATTGCGTTATCTGCTAAAATATAAGTGACAAGACAAGAAACAATATTGATTCGAATGTAGTTCCCTTTATTGGTATTTGGCGCAGGAACCAAATTTAAACCATTGCAGTGCATTTGGGTGTAATTTCTTTGTGGTGTGTTTGAACAATTTTAGGAGTTGATGGTACATCAATTGAGTTTCAGAAGTATTTATGGCTTGTCCGTATACCCTGGTTAACTATATTGTTTGGTAAGATTATAACATTGCGGAAAATAGTTTATTTTGAGCACATGTGAGCCACAAATCTAGGGGACATTTTTAGTTGCATATATTACCGATGTACTAAATGAGCCATACAATCAATTGCAGTGTTTGAAATTGATTGTAAAA